CCTATTTTCCTAGTCAAGGTTTCCCTTGTTGGCCTATTTTCCTAGTCAAGGTTTCTCTTGTTGGCCGATTTCCTAGTCAAGGTTTCCCTTGTTGGCCGATTTCCACTGTTTTCCCTTGGCCTATTTTCCTAGTCAAGGTTTCCCTTGTTGGCCTATTTTCCTAGTCAAGGTTTCCCTTGTTGGCCGATTTCCACTGTTTTCCCTTGGCCTATTTTCCTAGTCAAGGTTTCCCTTGTTGACCTATTTTCCCAGTCAAGGTTTCCCTTGTTGGCCGATTTCCACTGTTTTCCCTTGGCCTATTTTCCTAGTCAAGGTTTGCCTTGTTGGCCTATTTTCCTAGTCAAGGTTTCCCTTGTTGGCCGATTTCCACTCTTTTCCCTTGTTGGCCTATTTTCCTAGTCAAGGTTCCCTTGTTGGCCGATTTCCACAGTTTTCCCTTGTTGGCCTATTTTCCTAGTCAACGTTTCCCTTGTTGGCCTATTTTCCTAGTCAAGGTTTCCCTTGTTGGCCGATTTCCACTGTTTTCCCTTGTTGGCCTATTTTCCTAGTCAAGGTTTCCCTTGTTGGCCGATTTCCACTGTTTTCCCTTGTTGGCCTATTTTCCTAGTCAAGGTTTCCCTTGTTGGCCTATTTCCCCTGTTTTCCCTTGGCCTATTTTCCTAGTCAAGATTTCCCTTGTTGGCCTATTTTCCTAGTCAAGGTTTCCCTTGTTGGCCGATTTCCGCTGTTTTTACCTTGGCCTATTTTCCTAGTCAAGGTTTCCCTTGTTGGCCTATTTTGCTAGTCAAGGTTTCCCTTGTTGGCCTATTTCCCCTGTTTTTAGTCAAGGTTTCCCTTGTTGGCCTATTTCCACTGTTTTCCCTTGTTGGCCTATTTTCCTAGTCAAGGTGTCCCTTGTTGGCCCATTTCCCCTGTTTTCCCTCGGCCTATTTTCCTAGTCAAGGTTTCCCTTGTTGGCCTATTTTCCTAGTCAAGGTTTCCCTTGTTGGCCGATTTCCACAGTTTTCCTTTGGCCTATTTTCCTAGTCAAGGTTTCCCTTGTTGGCCTATTTTCCTAGTCAAGGTTTCCCTTGTTGGCCGATTTCCGCTGTTTTCCCTTGGCCTATTTTCCTAGTCAAGGTTTCCCTTTGTTGGCCTATTTTCCTAGTCAAGGTTTCCCTTGTTGGCCGATTTCCTAGTTAAGGTTTCCATTGTTGGCCTATTTTCCTAGTAAAGGTTTCCCTTGTTGGCCGATTTCCCCTGTTTTTCCTTGCTGTTTTTCCTTGGCCTATTTTCCTAGTCAAGGTTTCCCTTGTTGGCCTATTTTCCTAGTCAAGGTTTCCCTTGTTGGCCTATGTCCCCTGTTTTCCCTTGGCCAATTTTCCTAGTCAAGGTTTCCCTTGTTGGCTTATGTTCCTAGTCAAGGTTTCCCTTGTTGGCCTATTTCCCCTGTTTTCCCTTGGCCTATTTTCCTAGTCAAGGTTTCCCTTTTTGGCTTATTCCCCCTGTTTTCCCTTGACCTATTGTTGGCCTATTTTCCTAGTCAAGGTTTCCCTTGTTGGCCGATTTCCACTGTTTTCCCTTGGCCTATTTTCCTAGTCAAGGTTTCCCTTGTTGACCTATTTTCCTAGTCAAGGTTTCCCTTGTTGGCCGATTTCCACTGTTTTCCTTTGGCCTATTTTCCTAGTCAAGGTTTCCCTTGTTGGCCTATTTTCCCAGTCAAGGTTTCCCTTGTTGGCCGATTTCCACTGTTTTCCCTTGGCCTATTTTCCTAGTCAAGGTTTGCCTTGTTGGCCTATTTTCCTAGTCAAGGTTTCCCTTGTTGGCCGATTTCCACTCTTTTCCCTTGTTGGCCCATGTTCCTAGTCAAGGTTTCCCTTGTTGGCCGATTTCCACTGTTTTCCCTTGTTGGCCTATTTTCCTAGTCAAGGTTTCCCTTGTTGGCCGATTTTCACTGTTTTCCCTTGTTGGCCTATTTTCCTAGTCAAGGTTTCCCTTGTTGGCCGATTTCCACTGTTTTCCCTTGTTGGCCTATTTTCCTAGTCAAGGTTTCCCTTGTTGGCCTATTTCCCCTGTTTTCCCTTGGCCTATTTTCCTAGTCAAGGTTTCCCTTGTTGGCCTATTTTCCTAGTCAAGGTTTCCCTTGTTGGCCGATTTCCGCTGTTTTTACCTTGGCCTATTTTCCTATTTCCCCTGTTTTCCCTTGTTGGCCTATTTTGCTAGTCAAGGTTTCCCTTGTTGGCCTATTTCCCCTGTTTTTAGTCAAGCCTATTTCCACTGTTTCCCTTGTTGGCCTATTTTCCTAGTCAAGGTTTCCCTGCCTATTTCCCCTGTTTTCCTTTGTTGGCCTATTTTCCTAGTCAAGGTTTCCCTTGCTGGCCTAATTCCACTGTTTGCCCTTGTTGGCCTATTTTCCTAGTCAAGGTTCCCCTTGTTGGCCTATTTCCCCTGTTTTCCTTTGTTGGCCTATTTTCCTAGTCAAGGTTTCCCTTGCTGGCCTAATTCCACTGTTTGCCCTTGTTGGCCTATTTTCCTAGTCAAGGTTCCCCTTGTTGGCCTATTTCCCCTGTTTTCCTTTGTTGGCCTATTTTCCTAGTCAAGGTTTCCCTTGCTGGCCTAATTCCACTGTTTGCCCTTGTTGGCCTATTTTCCTAGTAAAGGTTTCCCTTGTTGGCCTATTTCCACTGTTTTCCATTGTTGGCCTATTTGTTGGCCTATTTTCCTAGTCAAGGTTTCCCTTGTTGGCCTATTTCCACTGTTTTCCATTGTTGGCCTATTTGTTGGCCTATTTTCCTAGTCAAGGTTTCCCTTGTTGGCCTAGTTCCCCTGTTTTTTCCATTGTTGGCCTATGTTCCTAGTCAAGGTTTCCCTTGTGCCTAGTCAAGGTTTTTCCTTGTTGGCCTATTTCCACTGTTTTCCCTTGTTGGCCTATTTGTTGGCCTATTTTCCTAGTCAAGGTTTCCCTTGTTGGCCTAGTTCCCCTGTTTCTCCCTTGGTGGCCTATGTTCCTAGTCAAGGTTTCCCTTGTTGGCCTATTTCCACTGTTTTCCCTTGTTGGCCTATGTTCCTTGTCAATGTTTCCCTTGTTGGCCTATTTCCTTTGTTTTCCCTTGTTGGCCTATTTCCCTAGTCAAGGTTTCCCTTGTTAACCTATTTTCCTAGTCAATGTTTTCATTTCCACAGTTTCCCTTGTTGGCCTATGTTCCTAGTCCAGGTGTCCCTTGTTGGCCTGTTTCTCATGTTTTCCCTTGTTGGCATATTTTCCTAGTCAAGGTTTCCATTGTTGGCCTATTTTCCTAAGGTTTCCCTTGTTGGCCGATTTCCACTGTTTTCCCTTGTTGGCCTATTTTCCTAGTCAAGGTTTCCCTTGTTGGCCTATTTCCTCTGTTTTCGCTTGTTGGCCTATTTTCCTAGTCAAGGTGTCCCTTGTTGGCCTATTTCCCATGTTTTTCCTTGTTGGCCTATTTCCCCTGTTTTTAGTCAAGGTTTCCCTTGTTGGCCTATTTCCCCTGTTTTCCCTTGTTGGCCTATTTTCCTACTCAAGGTTTCCCTTGTTGGCCGATTTTCCCTGTTTTCCCTTGTTGGCCTATGTTCCTAGTCAAGGTTTCTCTTGTTAGCCTATTTCCCCTGTTTTCCCTTGTTGGCCTATTTTCCTAGTCAAGGTTTTCTTGTTGGCCTAGTTCCCCTGTTTTCCCTTGTTGGCCTATGTTCCTAGTCAAGGTTTCTCTTGTTGGCCTATTTCCCCTGTTTTCCCTTGTTGGCCTATTTTCCTAGTCAAGGTTTCCCTTGTTGGCCTAGTTCCCCTGTTTTCCCTTGTTGGCCTATGTTCCTAGTCAAGGTTTCACTTGTTGGCCTATTTCCCCTGTTTTCTTTTGTTGGCCTATTTTCTTACAGACACGGTTCCAAAAGGTGAACCTTTGGTTTCCTAGGGGCACGTTTGGAAGTCGTGCGAGTCAAGCGGGTGTTGTTTTTTGGGTGACACGACTTTTGACTCTTGCAGAATCCTTTTAGGGACAGCGAAACTGCGGTGGGAGTTTCTCAGTTGCCCAAAGTGATTCGACCTTTGAACCGTTTGGTGTTCCCTTTTTGGCCCCGGTGAAGGTTCCAAAAGGTGAACCTTTTACTTCTTAGGGGAAACCGCCTTTGGCGACCGCCACGAGTTAAGTGACATGAACTCTGATAGCTCCCTAACTTTGTGAGGTGTGAACCTACAGGGCTCAGCACTTGAAGATATGACCCACAGACAACACGTGCATCCCAACAGGACATGGCGAAATTGGGCTGTCCCTCTAGTCTTGGTGGGGAATTGGGGTCCGCAAGGTCCTCCAACTGACTATGGTGAGCTGCTCATTTGCAGCGCAGTTTGCCAGGCCGAGAAGCCATTGACGAAACTAGAGGAGGAGCCTGTGCCCTTGCCTCGGCGTGCATTAAAAAACCCGGCTTGGGTTGTTCCCTGGTTTCTTCAAGCGGAAATCTGAGAAGCTGTCCAGGTTCCTCTTCGATGTTCGCTTCATCACCTGTTGCATGAGGGAACACAGTATTTGCGGGTGCAACTCACCGAGCCGCCGAAGGGTTTTCCTTCGGGCGCTGGGCAAAGGGGTGCCCTTGTTTGGCCGCAGGTCAGTACGCCATCAAGAGTGACTACAAGCTTCGTTGTGGGGCGAGTGGGGCTGTTCTGCTAAGGGGGGGTCAACCCAACTGATTGGGAGGCACAAAGCCCTTGTAAGGTTGGCTCTTTGACTCCTTTGGGGGCTGCATCAAGTCCCGATCTGTTGTGGCGGACCCTGACAATCGCAGCAGTTGATGCATGTCCCTGAATCAATGTGAGTGGTTGCTACTTCATGGCCACGTTTCAAGACCAGGGCCCTTCACAAAGTTGCTTTGACATGTACTAAAAATGGGGTTGGTGAAGCAATCTCAGATGACAAGAGCAGTTCTGGCAAGCGCTTGGTTTGAGAGAGTCCAAGAACTCAGCAGTTGGCTTCAACCTTTGGCCCGTAGCCACGGCTTCAAGTCTCGCTATGGCGCTCTCTGCCAGCGCCTTTGTCGCGCCCGACGCCCGCGTCGGGGTCAAAGCGCCGCCCGCCCTCGCTGCCGGGCGCGCCGCGGCACCGGCGCCACCCGGCGGAAGCCACGCGGCGCTCGCCGTGTGCGCGGCCGCGGCCGTGGCCGCCGGCCGCGCGCGGCGCACGGCGCGGCGCGAAGGGCCTCAGGTGTCGAAGGAGAAGAGTCCGGAGACGCAGGAAGAAGCCACTCGCCGCAGTGTGATGCAGTTGTGCTCTTAGAGGCACTTTTGGGGAGCCGCAAATCCTGCTTTCCGCTGTTCTTGGCTGAGTTGCGTCCCCTCCTTTTCATTCCAAGGGCACGTGTGTCTGCAGAGTAGCAAGCTAAGGAAGACGTGACGCCAGCCAAGTGTCAGAGCAAGATGTGTTTGTTCGTTCTCATTCCTCGCTGTCGCTTTTGTTCTTTGGGTTTCCTGGGTTTCTCGTGCCATCTCAGGCTGACAGCTGGGGCGACAAGTTTGTGTGGGAGAAGGCTTGGTATCCCCTGGCAGTGGTCGAAGACCTGGACGATACGAGGCGCGCATGAAATCTGCATCCCGTGCTTGTGCGAGACATCGGGGTTTCTCGTTTTTTTTTCTTCCTATGATACCAGGGGGAGATGTTCTATTCCCCAAGCGACAAAGTTTGGGGGGTTGACCCACAAGGGGTGATTTGGTCTCACGGGATTCAGGTGATTTTCCACAAGGATCCAAATCCAAACCATGTTTTTTCGCGGAGGCCCACGCCTCTTACTCTGCTGGGGGAGGACCTGGTCGTTTGGAAGGATGGCGAGGGACAGTGGCGCGCGGCTCGGTTGCAGTTAGAGGACTCCAGCGAGGTTCCTGGATATTCTGCTGGGTTTTGAGCAGAGTTGCTCATTTCTGTTCCTGTTTGGAGGGCTTCCCCCTTTTTCTTTTTTTGGCAGGCGGTTCCCGTCAACATCAGCAAAGAGGGTGCCGTTTTTCCCGTGGCCGCACGTCTTGGAAGCGGATTTCCATGCCCCCTGCCAAGGGCCGAAACAGGAAGAACGGGCTGAAGGGATACTTGAAAGACGAAATCAGAGGATGGGCGAACCATGCCAGCTCTTTTTTAGCCCCTCGCATTGGATGGGCTGCGCCGGTCCTTTGATTTCATCGTCTCTTGGGGGTTAGTTTGCAAAGCAAATCCGGAAGCCAACCCTAACGGGAATTGGGGTATCGGGTGGCGTTTTTAGTTGGTATCGGAAGCCTCTGGCTCGAATGGTTGGATGTGTCTCTCAGTGAAGGATCCTTCACTTCGCAATCCCGCTGTGGGTGGACAAGATCCTGCAGCAGTTGGTGGTTTATCCCATTATTTATAGGGCTTCGTCCATCCCAACTGGGGTAGGATTTTGTGCATCCACTGTTTGAAGCCGTAAGATATTTGGAGCAACTTTACCACCTCGGTATGCACCTTTGGAAAAAAGAAGCCCGAGAGAGGTCATTGAGACGATTTGGAGTTGGTCAAGGGCCCTTGCAGGGACAGTCCAATTTGAGGGGTTACTCACATTTGTTTGTTTTTCTTCTTTTTCTTTTTTCCCGAGGGTACCTTTTTTGATTATTTTTGCAGCGGACCCAAAAGGAAACCCTTGCGCCATTTTGGTGGTTGGAAACAGACGCACCCATGTCAGGTCCCATCCACACACCTTAGAGCCATGACCCTTCTGATTGACGCGGAACGACCCTATTGTTCTGAGGGTTTTTGTATTACACCCTGGGATTACACCCTTGTGAAATGAACCAGAGTGGTCCAAAATAACACGGTTTTATCCGGACATGTGCTTGAATGGGGTCAATACCCAGTGGGTGTATTCCCAGAGTGTAATCATACAAAAACCGCTTAGAATTGTCCCACGCGCCGAGTCTCAGGTCTTTGAGGATCGTTGCCCGCACCGCTCCGTGCCCTTGAGCGAGGGCCGCGTCGAGAAGGAGCGCGCTGGATTCAGCCGGACTGTGTGTGTGTGTGTGTGTGTTAGAGTACCTAGGTCCCCCAGCTGAGTGCCCTTTCTCACCCCTGTTTTGGGGGAGGGTTCCCCTACTAAAGGAGACTACAGAAAAGAAGGGTACCCTTATTCCAACCTCTCTACTGGAGGGCCTAGGTACCCTTTTCGGGGTTACGTTTTTACGGGTCCTAGAGTCCTATTTTGAGACATCCTAACACACTAGGGGACACAAAATGGCCTGTGTCCTTTTGCTTCCCCCAAGCTTTGAACCATCCAAAAGGGGCCGCCTTTTTGAGAAACCGGGCTCAATGTTCTTTGGTTGTACGTTTATACAGTTCGGATGCGTGAGAGCATACTGTTGCTCCGCTCTATACTTATTGAAAGATACATTGCGACGCACTGTGACGAACATCACAAGAGGTGCTTGCAAGAGGTGCTCGTGTTACGCTTGAATGATTTCAAGCATCACGTTTTAGTTGCTGAAGCTAGTCTCCGAGTCGGGTGCTTACAGCGAAATCTGTAGCTTTGGAGCTACCTCTTTACGGGCACCGACCCTTTACTCGAAAGCCTTGGGAATCTACAGGGCCCCAACCCACACCACCAAAGTGGGCGGTTCCCCTTTTGTTTCCTGAGCAAGCCCAACCAGGATGCCATCCAGAAACGACACTATGTACATTATACATATATATATATATATACATGCCATACCATGCCATACATTGCATTACATTGCATTGCATTACATCCATGGCATGGCATGGCATGGCATTGCATGGCATGGCATTGCATTGCATACATGCGTACACACGTACACGTACGTGTACGTACGTGTATATATATATATAGTGTATACATATATATATATATACATGTGGTACAGGGTTGCCACTCCTCCCTCCCGCCTTCCCCCGACCCGCTCCCTGATTGGTCAGGGTCAGACAAGTTCACTCCCCCCCCCCCTGTGTGGTCCTGTGGTTGTTTGGCTGGGTGTGGCGTTTGTCTAGGTGATTTAGGTCGGTAAGGTTGGTTTAGGTTCGGTGCAGGTGAATGTACTGTAGTTGGTTTAGGCTGGGTTTAGGGTTGATTGAGGATAGGTCAGGGTAGGTTTAAGATCCGTTTAGGATGTATGTATATATATATATATACATTTGTTTTATGTATACACGGGTTAGTGCCAAAATAGAGAGACCACAATCCTGGTGTTGTTCCTTTGCTCTTTAAGCCAGCCTGAAATCCATACCCTCAAACTTCTTACAACTACATATATGTATGTACTTATATATTTATACACATATTTGCAAACATATGTGTATATATATATATATATGTGCACGCGTACAAACAAACATCAATCATGTATTTAGTATTTATGCACAGATACATAACCTACATATATATATATATATATTAGGGCCCCGCAAACAAGCTTGGCATCTTGCACAACCGCCTCCAAATTTACAGGTTAATTCCCGGTACATGGCCCGAGGACGGCACGCTGCTTTGCTCCTACCACGGCTGGCGCTTCAACGGCGAGGGCAAAGCCACAGAGATCCCGCAGGCGATGAAGGCGCGGTCACCGACCCGGGCGTTGGCTTCATAGGTGTCCTTTTTGGTTGGTTTGCTTAAAATTTTGAGGGCCTTGGTTTAGATGGGGTTTATTCCATTTACCAGGGCCATCTGTTTTTCCAAAAGGCCACCTATGGTTGGGTTTGTCTTAAGGAAACCTTTGCGTGGCGGTTCCCAGCTGTCCTTTCAGGTTTTAGGCTTTTTAGTTGGTTTAGTGGTTGGGTCTCCAAATTTAACCCACTGAAGGTTAATCTTTTAGCAGGGCATGTAAGGACAGCCCGGTTTAGCGCAAAGGATGGTCTCCTCTTGGCTTTACTAGTTTTAGCAACTTCAATAAAGGGCTCCCTCAATTAAAGACACACCCTTAACAAGAAAAGTATTCCTGGTTTCATATGGGTATTGGTAATATAGGATGTTTGGAAGCAGGTTAGAGACAAAAATCAATATCTCAAAAAGGCGGAGCCCCTTGTTTTGGTGAAGGGAAACCAAAAGGAAATCAACCATTGTAGGGCAACAACCATTTTGAGAAACACCCAGATGAGTTTGTTGGCCGTACCTTTGCTGGTAGGTTTTTGGTGCGTCCCCTTTCCCATTTCCTTGGCGGCAAACACCTCTTTGGCTTACACAGATCCTCTTTTGATTGGTTCCAAAAAGCGCATTTTTACCGCGCGTTTCCAATTTTTTGGGGGTTTTGGTAGCACCTGCCCGGTTTGGCACGCGTTTTCTTTATGCCTCAAGCGCACGTCTGAGCCCTGGGCTGACAGATTGTGGTCGACCACTTGAGAACCTGAGAGGTGAGATGCGAACAGGTTCTGTCGCCCTTCGGGGAACTTGTCCCGGGGTGCAGGCAAAACCTTGCAATAGGTTTTTCGTTTTTTCGAGAAAGCCACGAGACAAGAGTCTGATGAGTCAAGCCTTGAGTGTTCACCCCGATTTTCTCTTTGTTCCACATCTTTTTCGCACCAACTTTTGCCCGTCGGTTTTCGGTGCTTGCCTCAAATTGTCGTGTTTGCCCAGTGGACTTATTCAATCACAGATGCCGGGGTTCAACGAAAACAATGAAACACGTCGCTCCGTGCTGGTGTCCCTGCTTACGGTGGCATCCGATGACGATGCAGCCACTTCCAGACTGATGGGATCAAGCATTCCTGTCACGTAAGCGGCCAATTTTGATTAGAACGACTACTGAAAATAATCAAAGGACTAAATAACTATTTCTAAGAACTTGTTTACTCCAATCCACACAGGTTGGTTTTACAGTGCCCCCTTCGAATTATCCATATGTAAGGCGAGCAAGGAGCGGCTGCTGGAGAATCCCCGCGCCTGCGCGGCTGCGCGCCCAGCACAGGCGCAAAAAAAGTTTTAGTCATAATATCAATAATGGTGATAACACTGATAAAAGTAATATTGATAATAGATAGTGATAATACAGTATTACTAATATATCATAGTAAAAGCCTTGAAACCCCGCCTAAGGGTACCGACGTGTTTCATTTGGGTCCTATTCTGATATTCATTGTGGGACGGGTGCGCGCCTGTCCAGTGTGATGGAAGGGCGTTTCCAAAGACTTCCCAAGAAGTTTTCCGGGGAACCAAGCCCTCATTCCACCCTTGGCGATGTTTCGAATATCAGGGATCACTATACATGAATGCAACATGTATGGTTCTCTCGCTTTGCTGGCTGGACATCACGTTTTTGTGGCTTGGTTGGTGTAGACATCACCCGCTTCCCTTGGGATGAAGTATCGAGGGGAACAAATTGAGAAACCATGGAGGATGGGTGGATCCAAACAGTCCATGTTTGGACCGTGTTTTTCTACATGACCCCCTTTCGCTTTCACTGTCGTCATTGCGTACGTGACAGAGACATACAGCAGAGTTGGGAGTGTCAACTTTATCGACCCCGTTTTGAATACCGTTTGAACAAAAGAGAGAGCGAGAGAGAGCGAGAGAGAGAGAGAGAGAGAGACAGAGAGAGAGAGAGAGAGAGAAAGACAGAGAGAGAGAGAGAGAGAGAGCGAGAAAGACAGAGAGAGAGAGAGAGGAAACCAATGATTGACGGGGTACCATCCTGCAATTGTGCTTCTGCTAGCTGGCGAAAGGCCTAAATATTTGGGTTACGACAGTCCCATTTGCAGTTGTTTCTCAGACTGAGGGTGGAGTCATTTCCTTTGCGCTACCTTCCTTCCACTAACATAGCGTTTGGGGGAGGGTACCTCGAAGAACATTCTTCCGATTGCAGGGACCCCTCTCAAGTGCCATGTTAGTGGGAGAGAGGATTGTTAAGTTGGCTGGCTTTGATCATGGCAGGTCGGACGAGATCTCAATATGTTCGGAGAAAGCCCACAGGAAACCACATGATCGGATCATCCCTCTTTTGCGAAGCCACCATGATTCTCAGTCCACAGCTGAAAAAGCAGCCTTTTTTTTTCTCCCCCTTTTTTGGCTCATGTTTAGCCAAAGGTGAACCTTGTATTTCCAGGTCCTTTGGGCAGGAATGCATTCAGGGCAAATTATCATGAGCTCGCCTGGGGTGTAAAAGCAGCTCATGATGAAGGCCCCTGACTTGGGCATTCCCCATTTGTTTTTTTGGGGGGATGCTTGCATTTTTTTTGCAAATTCCAATTTTTCAAAGTTTCCAAGTTTGCATTTTCCACATTTTTTAACTTTTACAATTTTGGGAACGCCTGGGAATTTCGCACTCTGCCAAGAAGCCCACCCTCTTGGGTTCACCTGGCCAGCCGGCCACTCGCCAATGGCCAGGTGCGGCTGGGAGTGCTGTGGGTCTGGGGGGAGAGCGGCCCAGACGCCGCCTTGGAGAGCGCGCTGCTGGAGCCCAACCTGCCCACAGAGCGCCTCGCTCGTTTGCTGGCTCGCTCGCTCGCGCGCGCGTTCTTTCCGGGGCCAAAAGGACCGGTGACTAGGTGCTGAACGTTCAGTCCTTTGGCAGGGGTAGAGTATTAGTTCACATTTTCTTGGGGAGGCCTTTGGCTGGGTTAGAGGCGATTCATGAATTCACCATTTTACTTGGGGCCGAAGTAATTAAATCCATGCAGGTACGGGCTAGGTCATTTCCAGAAAGCCGCACAAGTGTCGGGCGGCGTTTTGCTTAGGCTGGAGGACCCGGCGATGAAGGACCGGGCTACGGCCGGCGTGTGGTCCCACCGGGATATGCCGTATGGCTGGGAGGCGGGGATTGTGTCGCTTGGGTTTCATGCATCCAGGCCCAGTGCCAAGACAAAGCTTGGTGGCTCGCCGCCAACGGTTCCTTAGCCTTTTAGCTTTGTAGTATTTAGTGGTAGTTTCCATTTAACCCACTAAAAGTTCAATGGGGGATCTGAGGGCAGTCCGGAAAATGTTCCAGTCAGGGGGTTGACTTGCTGGTTCTCAGGCAATGAGAGCTGGAACGACCCCTACAAAAACCATCCCCTATGGTTTCCTTTACGTGAATTTGTAGCGTCATTCCCAAAACCCATCCCGTTATGGTTTCGTTTAAGTGAATCCCCAAACGGTTCATTCCCAAACCCGGAAGGTCCATCCCTACCTATCGCACCAAGCCGATTCAAACAAGAGGTGGCCTTCGAGAACGTGACGGACCCTGCCCACGTGGCGGTGGCACACCACAACATCGTGTCCAACCGCTACGAGGACATGTGGTCAAATGTTGTGTTTTTTCTTGGGTTTGGTCAAAGCACTGGAGAAAAAAAGATAGGCAGTTAAATCATTATGGATGTTCATAGAAGGGACTAAGTTGAGTCAAAGCAAACAATAGTAGCCAGTAGCCTTTGCTCGGGTTTGGTGAAACAAACTGGAGGAACCAACAGTCAAGAGGAGCCACTAATTCTGATGAATCACTTTTGTTTCTTGTCCCCAGCGTTGCGGTCAAAGCCCGATATGTTTCTTGATCAAAGCACCCTTTTGCTGGCAGGGATGGTCATGGACCCCTTAATACAGAATTCAGACAAGCATGAGAAGGATGCTTATTCAGGGATCTATGACGATGACAAACATAAGGAGTGCGGTTCAAGACACATTCCATTTCTTTTGAGATTTACGGCAAGTGACAACTGAGAACATTTTGAGCATCAGCAAGAGTCTAATTACTGAAGGCGCGAGGTCAAGTGTCAGACAGATTATGTGAAGAGGCTCGCGTGTTTTAGCAAGAGAGAGGGCAATGATGCAAAGTGCTCAAAACGGCGGCAAGCACCCGACAAACCCAAGCCAAGAGCAATAAATTTCGAGACATGTCCCACAAAACGAGCAATTCTTGACACTGGAAACCACTTCTGCAGAATGACTATACGCATTTGTGCAAGAGCAGTAGCCGGAGATTCAAATCGAACCGTCTGTCTCGGGGGAAATTGGGGGGCGTGTGCTGGGAACTTGGACTTCCCAAGACTTCATTTGGTATCGCCAAGATTTGATCTCGAAAACCTCGTACGAAAACGTTGAATTGCAGTTTCTAAACGTTTGCAAGACTTACTCAGGTTCCTCGTGCTTAGTTTAGTATCGCCCATTCAAACTAAAAACTGCCAAGACTTACTCTCAGTTCCAGGTCTGAGATAAACCATCCCTTACAACTGCTGGCCAAGGCGTTGATCTAAAAAGACACCTCCGCACAGATGCCACAATGCTTGTCATTCAAGCGGACCCCGAAACAGTCAGATTAGATCGAATCAGAGGCTCTTGTGTGCAACCCCGTTTGTTTGACTGTTTGGCCCTGCATGTTTATACGGTATATATACGTTATACGTGTATATATATATATATATAACGATGGTTTGGAACTACTTGCAAAAAAGGAATTTCTGGATCTAGGGCCTTTAGCCTCTGAGCTGGGAAGATTTGTCCGGGTGTTCTTTGGGGGAAACTACTTTCTATTGAAGCCGTTAAAGCGAGCCCCGAAACAATCACAGGATCCTGAATTAGGAACACACTTTCCATAATAGCGACCCAAGTTATCAAAGGACGCACCCCCTTACCAACCACTTGCTTACGTGGCCTGCTATCTCATTTGGAATGGAGGGCAAATCATGCTTGTCTGGTCCGAGCGGTTTTTGTTGCCTTCGGCCAACCACATCGCATTTGCCCCACCCCCCCTCCCCCCCTCCCCCTCGTTGACAACGCGCCTGAATTTCGCACCTGGCTTCTTTCGGGCCTTTGGGCCTTTGGGCGTTTGGGCGCTTGGCGCGGGCTGCTTGCCGAATCTGACCCTAAACCCGGACCTGGAGATTCGCTTGTCATGGGATTCCTGGACTTCTCATGGCATTTGCCCATATTTTTTCCCCATGAATCAACCATGTTTTCAGCTCAAACAGCAAAAAACACCAGAACACCTAGATTCTGTCTTTGGAACCGTGAAGCACAGATGGAACATCAAATTATGCGGTAGTACGGCATGAGGCACAAACAGCTTGTCAGGTTGGCACAGGCTGCTACATCTCAAATGAAATCCATGACAGACAAGAAATGTAAGCGTGCATACAGGGGTGATGGCGCAATGGATTTCCCAGCAAGCAAAATGCCGCAGTTGATTCTGTCGTGAAATTTCAATATGTGCTCGCTCCGGTTTGCTCGCAAAACGCCCGCAAGAAAAACAACGACGCACCTGCACAAACGGGCAAACGCCCGCAAAACAGAAGACAGCTGCAAATCGTTTACTGGATACACAGAAATGTGGCGAGGAAGGGGCTCTGACCGAAGGGCGACAGAGAAAGATCGCAACTCACACGGGCAATAGTTTGCATGTTGCCAAGCCTGGATCGCATGATTCGTGCGTCGGCATGAGTGAGGCGCGTCAGCAGAAATGAGACTAAACGCTCAAATGGGTATGGCCAGCATATTTTTAGTGCCCTCCAATGGAGGGCACTTGGCCTGTTTTTGAATCGAGGGCACTTAAGGCAGTGTCGGTGGCCTTGATTGTGGCCGACCCGGAAAGCCCGAACATGGCGTTTTGAGTGTCAAAGCGTGTCATTTGAGTGTCATTGGGGGTGCGAATCGAGGTCACTTGCCCCTTGAAAAGGTCACTTACGCTAGTGTTGGTCCCCCCTGCGTGAGTGTCATTCGTGTGTCGCTGCGGCTCGATTTGCCCAGCGTCGGTCCCGCCCCCGTGTGAGAGTCATTCGCATTCACGTGTCGCTGTGGCTCGATTTGCCCGCACTGAGGAGAGATTTGCTGGGGAGGGCATCCCTGAGGGTCTAAGTGCCCTTTAAATGGCTTAAGTGACCTCTTTGATTTAGGACTAAGTGCCCTTATTTTCAAAATGGATCATAGCACCCAAAAAATGAATCGAGGGCACTGAAAAGAAGCTGGGGGCCAAAATACACCCACCAGGGGACCGCAGGTTTTAGTCTTTGGTTCCATTTATCAGGGTTCCATTTTGGGTACGCATTTTTGACCCACAGCCAAATGGCCCAAATCTAGAACGCCCGAAATTCCACGACATTTAAAGGTCCAGGACATGGCAATTCAGCCAACTCGCTTGAAATCCACTGCACACTCAGCTTCGGATGAGACCTGTTCTAAACCACACCCTAAAATGGTCAAACCCCCAATGTCCACCTGCTATGCTGCAACTGGTCCCAGATTGCCGAACCTACTAAACCTCACACCGTTAAGCCTAACAAGCTCGAGTGCCAGCATTTCGCACATGTGCCCCACGCTGGTAGCGAGACAAGGGGCAGAGAGGCGCAGGGACCGAGCACCTCCAACTTCCATTTAATTCTAGATTGCTGCTGGTTGGCTTTAAAGCGGTCATGGTAAATATTGTATTTTCAGCAGAATCAAACCTTGCGTCCATGCGCTCCCAGGACCCATGCCCTATCAAGGTGGACTTCGTTCGGAAGCCCAGCAACAAGGAAGGCTTTTCCTTCCGCACCACGCGGGTGGAGCAGAAGAAGAGGAGCCGTTGGAAATCGGACTTGGCACGATTTGGGTGTGGCTCAAAACTAACCAGGAGGGGTTACGCAGGTTTTGGTCCATGTTTGCACTTGCCAGGGTTCCATCTTGGGTACCGGTTTTTTGCCATTTCCCACTCCGCAGATCTTGTGTTGGGGGTCTTTGCCAGCATGTTCATCCCTTCAACGGTGACTTGTTTATATAGGAGCTACTGACATAATTACTTCGGTGTCGGCTGACTTGGGAGGACATGGGGGACATTCATGTCATTTTACCCGCTGATTTCAAGCCCTCGGAGGTCTCCTGACGATGACGCTGTGACCACCATGGACTTCCGCCCGCCTTGCCAGATGCAGATCCGTAGCCTCTACCCCTCGGGGGCCTCGCTGACTTTGCTGATCAACTTCGTGCCCACCAAGCCCGGCTGCCGGGCTGCCCTTCTTGCCTGACCAAATCAGCAAACATCCAGTGAACCCCCCGGATCAAGAGGTGTTTTCCGAACAAACACCAGGCTTTCTAAGTTGAACATCTGGTTTGCGCAGAGCCATCGCTCTTTCCGGCCATATAACCATGATAGTGCAACTAATGTAGGACCTGGTGGAGCACATGGTTTGTACCTAAATGAAGACAGACTACCATTTCGGACAATTAAAACCCACAAGCATACACTGGATTCTATTTTTATTGATGCACAAACAGTTAAGCCCTCAATAAGGCCTTATTTAGGGCTTATTTGGGCTCCCTCCCCCCCCTCCCTCCCCCCCAGCCCCCATGACAGTTGGTAATGTTCAATTGGGCGCTTTCCGGCTCGCTCGCTCGAGGCTTCACGAAGCTGATCGGGTCGACCATGAGCCATGGCCCGACTTAGCCGACTGAACGAGTCGAATGTGCCGGGGTTCTTCCTCCACCCCCCCCGGTTTCGGTCAAATTTTAGCGGAGGTTTAGCGAACCTTGGTGATCTTGAGTATTCCTCGACCTTTGTTGCCTTTTGACCTGCACAAAGTCCTTCATGTTCGGTCTTTGGGTTTGGTGAAGTTTGTTTGTATTCCTTTAGGTAGGGGCTCCGTGGGAGTCCCTTTGTTTGTTTGTTGCATTGGAGCATCTCAAGATTTGGTTGTTGCTCTTTTTTGTCTAGGATCCCAGAACATGAGATTCCTGCTTTGGCAAACTCCGAGCGACCCTCGCCGAGTCTGTCTTTGGGTTTGTCTCAGGGTATGGAGTCTCTGTTTGCATTGCATAGTAACGGTTGGCAGAACGAACATTACACAACAAGATCAACGGCAACCCAACCTGTTTGGCCAAAAGGGAACACAGGACAAACCTGGCGTTAGCCTGCAGCGAAATAAAGAACAACAATCCTACGTACATATCTGAAATGAAAATACCCCTGTAAGCCATGCAAGTATGGTTTTGGGGTATCCTAGACGGCCCTGGTCATCTCCTGGCCCATTTATGACCACTGATTTGGGTCAACTCATGGAGCTAGTCGTGAAGTAGGACCTTACAAGATCCCTTTTCCGCGATGTTTCCAAACATATGGGGACCCAATTATGGTTTCCTTGCACAACTAGCATGGGGCAACTCTCTTTTGGTTTTAGAGGGAAGCCACAAATTAAACCGCCCTTGTTTGGGTCCATTTCCATATTTTGATACAACCCCAGGCAGGTATTTTGGGACACACAGGGAGGTAAACACGGACCTCGCATCCCTTTTTGAGTCGGACACTCCCCATTTTGAGAGAGCTTTATGGATTCGACACCCGCTAGGCTCATCAAGGGCGAGAAGGGAGAGACGCCCAAAGGCTTCGGTATGTACAACGCTCCACTTCCCCGCTGGCTGATGCACGTGCTCGGCCCCGTGTTCCTGAACCAAGACGCCGTCTTCCTGCATCATCAGCAGAACATCCTGGAGAAGGACACAGGGTTTGTTTGCTTAGAAAAGAGCTATGTGCATGTACGTTACATACTGATAACATGGTAAGCCCCCCGTGATCTACATTTTGCGTTTGCAAGTCCTGTTAAAGTACCTGTGCATCGACATGATAAATATACAAACTGCGCGGTGCGGCAACGTATTTCTCAAATATATACTTTATGCCTGTGGCTGAGGGTGGAGCAGTGCTTGACAGCTGTCCTGGCCTTGAAAATCACACGGCCGGCTACCCACCGTGTACTTGTTTTTCATATTATGAAATGTAGTTGTAAGCTTTCGGAAGAGAAGTCTAACAACCATGCCAAACTATGTATATATGTATCTGTGTATCGCACGAACACAGTGGTAAAGCACATACTTTTCAAGTATGCCCGACCCAAAGTGGATTGCCCACCGAGACCAACATCCGATTCAGAGTTGTTGTGTTTCTCATGCGCTTCCACATGGCTGCATCTTGAACTTCAGTTTACAACTACATTATAATATATATATATAAATAACACCACACCAGTCTGGTGGGCAGGTCTTGTTTGAGGTAGCGGCTTCACGAACAACCCTCGCTTTTCGCACTTTTGCGACCTTTTTCCATTTTTTCGCGCGCTGGCGCATGATAAGCACACCCACTCACGCGCATCACCGCAGAGCTGCATGCACGCTGGCACATGATAAGCACACCGGCTCACGTGCATCACGTTAGAGCTGATTCCTAGTGTTGGCTGACGATGCGTTTCATGGCGCTCTTTCCCAGCCATCGTTGTCACACATTTAAAGAGAGGCTGGCTCGCGCATGTCACGGAAACGAGGTTATGGCTGCGTGACCGACCTGCAGCTTTCCGGTCCTGTTCTCTCTGGAAAGCGCGGGTCGGGAGCGAAGCCGTTACCTTGTTTGACCCAGTGATTGCGTCAAGCCCCGGCAACGTCTGAGGGGTTTGCACTATTACTGCCAATCCCATTGGTGACGCAGATCTTGAATTAGACAGTTCAACTGCTTATGCCCATCGACCTTGCGGCAAGCGGACAGCTTCACTGGCAAAA